TTCAGGCTGAAACTGACACGGGGCCTGTAGGCCCTTGTTTTCAGGCTTTCAGGCTGAAACTGACACGGGGCCTGTAGGCCTTTGTTTTCAGGCTTTCAGGCTGAAACTGACACGGGGCCTGTAGGCCCTCGTTTTCAGGCTTTCAGGCTGAAAATGACACGGGCCTGAAAATGGCCCGTGCAGCCTGTTGCAGGCGCAGCATGTAACATTAACGCTGTGACAGTGTGGCCGTAAAAACAGAAAAAGAGTCTCATGCACTACTGAGCACTGCAATGGACTTGCTGACATCAAGTAGTTTTCAGTAACAGGGCCATCTGATTTCCATCTTGATCTGGATTGACTAACCTGAGTTTGTTTGTTTGTTTGTTGGTTGGTTGGTTTGTTTGTTGGTTGGTTTGTTTGTTTGTTGGTTGGTTTGTTGGTTGGTCGGCTGGCTGGTTTTGTCTCGTATGGTGTGTTTGGTTCGTTGCTTGGTTACTTCGTTGGTTCATGTGTTTGTTTGTTTATTTGTTTGTTTGGTTGGTTGGTTGGTTATTACGTTCATTCATTTGTTCATTCATTCGTTTTTCGTTCGTCCGTTCATCTGTTGTTCTTTTGTTTGTTTGGTCGTTTCGTCTGGCCTTGTCTTGTTTGGTTTTTGAATGCAATGTGGTCAGTTTAGCTTTCGAGTAAATTGGGTTTGGTTTCTTTTATTTTGTTTTCTTCTTTTTTCTTTTTTTTCCTTTTTTTTTCCCTCCCCAGAAGACACGCCCGTTCTATTGATTCGTAACTCCTCCCAATTTGTGTATTGCAAGTCTTGTTTGTTCTGTTTGTGGTTATTCTGTCGACTTCTTATTTTTGGTAGATTGGTAGTAGACTGGTTGGCTTTTGTTGTTGTTGTTTGGTCAGTTGGTTGTTTTTCTTTTGTGTTCTTGTTGCTGTTGTTGTCGCTGCTTCTGTTGTCATCATCACCCTGTTTTTGTGAACTGTTTTATATATGCTGTTGGTGTTTCATGTTTCTGGTCACCTGGTCAGTTGATTGGCTGGTTGGTGGCTGGTTTACCTTGTTGGGTTGGTTGATTGGATGGTGCATGCGTGGAGTCGTCCTGGTCACTACACTGGTATTGCATTCGTCATGAGTGCAGCTTGCTGGAAACGGATCATTGGAAGAAACAGGTGAGTTGTGCTGCTTTATTTACCTTTCAAGCTGCAAAATCTTGAGTCGTACTTCGCAAACGGAAAGCTGAGAATGCTTAGTTCAGTATGTAAATCTGATGTATGCTTCAAATATCAGTCGCATTTCCCAAACAGAAAGCTGAAAACACTTGGCTCAGTATGTAAATCTGGTGTATAATGCTTTAACTATCAGAGCACAAAGTACCCCCTAGTCCATTGAGCCGTCAGTGATGTCTTTTTCTTCACCATCATAAGATCATACCGTGCACAGATAAAGACTCATGTGAGGAGGGCAAGTAGGCCAGTGTGCACCTGCCGGTCAGCCACTAGGCATGTAACATTGTATTGCATTGCAAATCTGGGATTATAACACATCATGGTGTTTCCTCGCACTTCCTTTGCCAGTTGAAAGACATTCCACGATGCAGACTCAAATTTGAATCTGAGGGTCAAGGTCTCATGTCAAAAGAGCCCAAGTGGGCCAGTTCAGAAAGGTCACAGTCGGGTACCTTAGGAGTCAATTCCAACAGGCACCCGGTGAACAATCACATCCCAGAGGCAAACGTTGCATTCCATAAGCAAAAGTCACGTCTCATATTGAAAGGTCATATTCCACAGGCAAAGGACACTTCTCCAGGCAAACGTCGTGTCCCAGAAGCAAGAGTCACATCACACAGTCAAAAGTCATGTTCCACAGACGAAAAGTCGTGACTCACAGTCTCAAAGAGCAGCACACCATTGAAAATTCGGGAACATACCAGGCCTCGGCATTCTGAAGCAAACAGGCCCCGGGCACTGTTGTACCAGGACCAAGTCAAACCAAAGGAAGCAGAGGTTGGAAGATTTCAGGTTCAGTCCAAGTCAATAGAAGGACCGGCCAGCCACATTTCATGAGATGGCTCATTTGTGAGAAGTGTGGAAGTGCTGCTGGAGCGCTTGTGCGCTATCTGCGAGTGGCATGCGCTAGAGCCCTGCTGGGCAGCGCTGAGCTGAGAGGGAAGGCGGCCATAGCCGCATAGCTAGTAGTAGGAGATAGAATTGAGTGGTAGCGGATGTATTCAGAGTCAAGATCCTCAAGTAGAGAGAGAGAGGGAGAGAGAGTAGAGGGAGAGAGTGGGCGCATGCATAAAGAGACAGAGAGAGAGAGAGAGGGGGGGGGACAAAGAGAGAAGAGAGTCACCTAACTTGGATGAGGATTCTGGAATTGGGTTGCTGAACTCTGCACTGATGAGCGCTGGTGACTGGAACTTTGAAACTGCTCAGTATGATAATTTGTTGGAATTTCTAAGTTGCGCTTATCTGGACTTTGCATCTCTGGTCGCCAGTGTAGACTTCGTTTGATCTCTCATTGTGTGTGTGTGCTCAAGGTGATGAGCAGTGAGGCTCAACACAATTGGTATCAGAGCAAGGTACTCGCTGCATCCGCTGATGGTGAGCGCTGGCAGGATTAAGGCCGACGAGATGAGACTTGGAGTTTGACAGTGGGGTGGAGGCCGAAGAAAAAGTGGCCAGGTTGGGGGGATGATGATTACGTACCTGCATGCGAGGAGCGTCGTGGAGCTTCATCAAAGGAAGGTTCACAAGTGAAGTGCATGCCCCCGCTAAGCCCTGCATTTGCTTTGATAAATGAATCAATGTCATGGTACCTTCCCACATCTTGGTGTCGCTACTGTTGGACAAAAACACTTGGTGACATATCAGATTTTGTTTTGAATCAGCAGCTGGTCAGACATGTGTATGAAGTAGGTCATTTCTAGGCTAGAAGCTCGACAACTGGATGTATAACCCGGAAAGTGGGAAGCATGGGCATGAACGTCCAGCACTCGTAAAACAACTTGTTTCCCCCTAAGACCGGTACTGATCGGCATGCGACTGAACCGGAGCTCGTACAGGGTAGTTGTAGTAACACTGTGGGGAGCGAAGAATTCAGATAGGTCATATTTCAATCTAGATTAGATAGTTTAAGTGTTGAGGGTGAGGTCTACGTGGTGAGGAGGTGGAGGCTACTTACTTGTGCCTTAGCAACCATGGATGACTACCTGATGTTCGCAATGTTGACCCTATCCGTGTTATGTTGTCCCCTTCTCCAAAGAATCAGAAAGAGAAGTAACCGCTAACACTACAGGGAAAAGGAAGCAACAGCGGTAGGACTGGCAAGTGCCCTACCAGCAGATATGGAAAGGGATGAAGGTGAGCACAATAAGCAATCAAACACTGCGCAGAGAGAAAAGAGGGTTCTACCAAAGGACGGGACAACAACAATCAAGGAGGATTCCGACCCACAGGACAAGGCAACTAACTTAGAAGGAGGGGAGGAGGACATGGACTGCTCCCTGACTTCGGGAAGGGTAAGAAAAGGGATAGAGCAGGGTCAAATGCAACCCAGTCGTCACATGAAGAAGATGAGGAATAGTCTGAGAAGGATAACGAGGAATCTGATGATGAGTTGGAGGAGGAAGACATGGATATGGAGGAGGAAGACATGAATATGGAGGAGGAAGACATGGATATGGAGGAGGATGGGGAAGACTCCCTTGAGTATGTACAGCAATACGTCAGGTCACTGGAGAGGGCAAGAACAATGAAATTCAAAGTAAGACTGAATCATCATAAACATCTCTGAAATCTCAAAGTAGTAACAACAATGACTAACGACATAAGCATGAAAAATAGGTTTAAAATACTTGAGAAAGAAGGGGAGATCAATGAATTCTACGCAACACAATATAGCATGAAAACGAAGATCGAAGTGGATCTTAACAGTTATGTACAACACCTTGGATGGCCCAAAACTTATGAGGAAAAGACCATAGAAAAGAGAGTCAAAAAGCAAAGAAACACAACAAGCAACTCAAAGGCAGAAGAACAAACTGACCAGACCAGAGAGGACAAAGAAACTGTGGACGAGCTCAACGGACAGGCCCCCATTCTCGAAGCACAGGTCAATGTTCTGCAGGATCAGAACAGGGAATTGGATGAGAATTGTCTAAATCTCAAAGACATCGCCACGGGATACAACAAGGAAATAGAGGCAACGGCTAGACTGGATGCTCGCTCCATCCCCAAACGGCGCACAGTAATCCCGTACAGATGGAACAACACATATGAAACCTGGGAAATTGCATACCATAAATCCATGGCGTCGTTAGCTGTCATGGACCAGGATTGTACGACGATGTACGCAGCAACACCTCAAAAATCTGGTATCTAATGCGGTGCCAACAAGAGCACACATTATGGGATCCAAAAAAGGAAGCGTGCGAGGAATGGAAGGATCAAGGAGGAGGATGGCAGTGTGCAGATCTCAGACCCATGATCTTCCAACTCGAGGAAAAGGCAGAGCTTAATGACGGTCTGTGCTGGGTGTCATGGCAGGTAGTGGAAGCAATTCCCTACGGACTGCTAGGGTGGAACACAACCGCAAAAAGAGCAGCCTTTAGTGGCTTGCTTGTAACGGCATATGGCATCTTTTAGATGTCACCCAGGTGGCTTGGAGTGAAGTTGATGGGACCAATTTCAATTGGGAGGGGCATAGGCCCTATTGGCTCTTAAATCGTGATAGTAGCATGTGTATGGCCACGAGATCAAATAGACTGTGTCAATGGGGGACACCAAAAGTGGCGAGCAACCTCCCCCCATTATCTTTTGGCATGTAAATAACATGTCTTCACTCCTCAGTAACCAACGCAAGTGGGATAACATAATGAAGGCCACAAATTGGTATGGCAGGTCATTCAAATCATGGTCGTAGTTGTGCCCCAAACCGACAAGATGCAAATCCTGGTTTCTTTTCGCTCGTACGAGAGCAATCATGTGCTCCACCGTCCAAAATTCCCTACTCTTTGCTATGTCGATTGCGTCCATATCCTCTACAACCCTCTTGCCTTGTCTCCCTAAGCACGGTAGCACAACCCTCTTTCTGCCTCGGGACCCACCTCTCTTCCTCCCCAGCGGACAAATCTTAGTCTCGTCGCCATCGTCTTCGCCGTCCTTACGGTCCCCATCGTCCGCCGCGTAATCATCGCCCCTTGCACCATCGCAATCAATGAAGATGTCGTCTCCCCCGACGTTCATATTCGCCACCCCTCTCGTGATGCCGAAAGTGCTCGCTTGCCGAATTTCTCGCTGATGATCGTCCCAAACCTGCCGACCCGTCACCTCTATAGCTGAATTTCTCGCTGATGATCGTCCCAAGCCTACCGGGCATTCATCGTCGTCCCGCCGTCCGTCGATTGTTTCGTTGGGCGTTGTCGATCAACAGGCCTCCACGCCCGCTGTCTTCGTCCTTGAAGCGGCCACGCCTGCAGTGCCCCCTCCCCCGCGCTTCGCGAAGCGATTCCACATTTGTCGGCCAACTCACGAGAACACCCGCCGTGGTTATCCGGAAGCCCCCCCGCCCTCACCAAAGACAGTGTGGATGTTGCTTGCAGCTGGATTGACGACAACAGTATGCGTCACAACCGGACCACTGCTAGACCTCAAACCGAAGCTGAGATCGACGAGTCCAGTGTCATAGCCAGCCTGGGTCCGTCCCTCCAGCAGCTCTGTGTACGTGGGTGTCGTCGGCTGTCTGTACATCTAGCTCCCCATCCAATCCTGCATCAAACCGCTGCCCAGAGGAACCGTCGAGGATCGAGGATCGTCGGCGTCGTCGTCACTCAGAGGCAATGGAATCTCGTGGGACGGTAGGTGGCTGTACAATGTCGGGTTGTATGGCCGCCTTCCACCTTCCGCACCGCTGCATCGCTGCCATGAAGATCCCAACGCCCCTACCGACAGCGTGCTCTTCGTGAGAAGGTTCTCCATCTTCCTCGCCTTCTTTGACATCCGCCGCATCGGTCTCCTTCCGAGAACGCGCCCGAGGAAGCAGATGTGAAAGACGACAACGACCACTAGCAGCACAACGACGAGCATCAGCAGCGGCAGCCCGCGGTACAGGTCAGTCGTCAATGACACGAAAGCCGAGACAGCGCACTCACTTGCGTTGTTGCATTCGCGGC